CACATCTCTGGTTTGAGGGTATGCTCTAGAAATTGCTGGTGGTTGCTGACCCTATTATTTTGGAATGTATACTGAGTCCGTAGCTTCAAGTGATTGTATTTCATGTAGTATTCCATACACAGTTCTGTAAATGTGTCAGCTTAGCAAACATTTATTCAGTGTTCATGAGGTGTTATAAGTAATACTGTGTGGTCAATACGCTGTCTCTATAAGAATAACGATTTATAATGGAAGACAGACATTAAACTACTGAATAAAACTATTTAGCGCTACAGATAGTGTTAAGTGCTGTGAAAACAAAAAAGCAGTGTATGAAGATGGAGCTAGAGGTACTGAATGCAGTCAGAAAAGGCTCTTGGGGAGGTGACATTCTAGCACAGCTGTTCGATGTGAGGGACTACACCCAGTTTATGGAAGAGAGCAGCAAGCGCAGAGTGCATGAAGCAGAGCCTGGTGACTGAGGGTCACAGAAAGATCTGAGTGGCAGATGCTAGTTAGCTGGTGGGTGAGGTTGGAGAAGTAGCAGGGGTACTTCAAGAAGCTGATACGATACGGTGAAGGGTTTGGATTTTATTTTACGTCTAAGTCCATGGAGAATTTTCAGTAGAGTAGGCTGTGCGTTGGTTTGTGTTTGTCTTAAAAAAAAGTCATCCTGGTTGCTCTCTGGGGAATAGATTGTAGGCTTGCAAGGCAGAGAATTTGAGACTCTTAAAGCAGTCTTTGTGAGCAGCATAAGTAGACTTGGGCTGTAAAAGTTGGCCTGAAGCTGGAGAGAAGTAGCAATGCTTGGATTAAGTCTTGAAGGTAGAGCAAATAAGCGTGTTATTAGATGGATACTGAGAAAAAGAAGCAAACCCAATTTTGGCCAGACAATGAAGTGAATTACATTGGATTACTGACAAGTGGAAGACTCAGAGAAAAGCAGGTTTGCAGGGAGAAAATGGAGTTCCATTTTGGGATTGTTATGGACTCTTCATGGATTTCCCTACCTTCCCTTTCTTTGGAGGCAGTGACAGGTACAGGAGCTGAAGAGTGGGCAACCAGACTAGAGGTGAAGGAGGCAGTGGGACTGAGAGCTGCATAGGCAGCCAATGAAGTTGGTTATATATTCAGGAGATTGAGCAACCAAGTAAATATATTGAGGTTACAACAAACTATGTTTATTATTGACAGATAAGGAATTTATAAATATAGAAGAGGAAGATTAAAAAGAATTTGAAGATGTCAGACAGGAATTGGAAATTTAAAGTAAATTCATGGTTTTTAAAACATGAATATAAATGTAGATACTGAAAATCTATGCATATGACACCACTTTAAAAGTTTGTAGAAAATGGAATTAAGAGAGAAGTTTATTTTGATGCGAAAAGTTTGAAATCCATGCATATGGGAAGTCCTCAAAATGGTCATGGAAGATGTCTACAATCAAAAATAGCTAGATGAATTTGTAAATTCTGTCATCTCCTAAGAGGGAAATCAAAGTTCCTTGAAGGAACAGTTGATTGCAGGGTATGTGTAATGAGCCTGGGAAATATATTTCTCTAAGGAATTGAAGAACTCTTCAGGGGCCGGTGCTGTGGCTTAGTAGGTAAAGCTACCACCTGTGGGCCAGTATCCCATATGGGTGCCGGTTTGGGTCCCAGCTGCTAGATTCAGTTCTCTGCTAATGTGCCTGGGAAAGCAGTGAAAGATGGCTCAAGTCCTTGGACCCCTTTATCCATGTGAGAGACCTGGAAGAAGCTCCTGGCTTTGGATTGGCAAAATTCTGGTCATTGTGGCCATTTCTGGAGTGAACCAGTGGATGGAAGATTCTCATTCTCTCTCTCTCATCTCTCTCTTGTCTCTCTCTCTGTCTCTCTTCTCTCTCTTTCTTTCTCTGGCTCTCTAACTCTACCTACCTTTCAAATAAATAATAAATCTTAAAAAAAATTCTTTCAGAGTGATAGGGTGTGTCATGAAGATGCAGAAGTTAGCTTGAAGGAGCGCACACTGGCCAGATACTGGATAATTTCAGCACTAAAGTAAATGTTGATGTTGTATACGAATAAGTGAGAGATAAGAAAAATTTCTTCTTTACAGCGGGGCGTTTTGTTAATGATGAAGAAGTGGGTAGTTCAAAAAAAAAGTCATTATTTGGCATCTACCATAATGATACTTGATTCAGATGGAAGTTACAAATGGATCCTGATGTTGGTGGGAAGAAGTTAGATGAGACATTGAATGCTGTGTAGTATTGGGTTATCTCCCCGTAAAATGGGTAGTTAAAAAAACAAGCCATTATTTGGCGTCTACCATAATGATAGTTGATTCATATGGAAGTTACAAATGGATCTTGATGTTGGTGGGAAGAAGTTTGATGAGACATTGAATGCTGTGTAGTATTGGGTTATCTCCCCACAAAATGCTTATGATTTACAGAGGAAAATCTGGTGACCAGATGATCTAGGTTAACCTCACCAGTCGTGACATACGTTGACATCATGTGATTCTTGATGAGAAAAGCTGAGAAAAGGTTAGTGTGATTTCTGAGGTTTTTCTGATAAAATGCCAACATGAGTTTGACTTTGAGGACACCTTTACAGTTTTTGCTTGAGGGACATCCTAAAGAGTGAAAGATTGGAACTCTTGAGAATTGTCAATATCACAAAGGTGGGGAAACACTGAGCAGCTATTTGAGAATAAAAGAGGTACAGCAAGGGAATGCCGCATTTGATGCTGGGCAGCAAGTGCAAGGGCTGCTGTTGACAGGCACAGCGTGTGCAGAGGACCTCTAGATTGGACTGACAGTGTGGTATCAGTTTCCTTATTCAGCTACTGATCTGAGGTTCCAGAGGTGAATATTCTCTTGTGGAACGTTTACTCTGGTGAACATAGGGCAGATCAGCCCTTATGTCAGAAACTTGCTCTCTAAGAGTAATGAGAATGGGTGCAGTTAGATAAAGAAGGTGATTGGAACAGATGTGGTAAAACGTTAATGATGGAGACATTGCAGTTCAGGGGATGCAGTTCCTTGTAGCATCCTTGAACCATGGCCAGCTATTTGTGTGGAGGTGAGGTGATGGCGGAGAGTTGGGTTTAGTACATATCAAGGTCTTTAAGGTTCCTGTGATAGAGAAACAGAGGAGAGGATGAGTACTGGGCACCTGGTGGGGGGCCTGATAGTGCCAGACAGTAGAATCTATACTGAGTAGGGATTGAGAGAGGACACGCATGAGGAGGGAACTGTGGATGTTACGAGAGTGATTGGAGGGGCCAGTACCGTGGCTCACTTGGTTAACCCTCTGCCTGCATCACCAGCATCCTGTATGGACGCCGGGTTATAGTCCTGGTTGCTCCTGGATCATGTTAGAACCCTTGGTTTAAGACTCAAGTATGGCCGGCGCCGTGGCTCAATAGGCTAATCCTCCGCCTTGCAGCGCCGGCACATCGGGTTCTAGTCCCGGTCGGGGCGCCAGATTCTGTCCCGGTTGCTCCTCTTCAAGGCCAGCTCTCTGCTGTGGCCCGGGAGTGCAGTGGAGGATGGCCCAAGTGCTTGGGCCCTGCACCCCATGGGAGACCAGGAGAAGCACCTGGCTCCTGCCAGCGGATCAGCGCAATGCGCCGGCCGTGGCAGCCATTGGAGGGTGAACCAACGGCAAAAGGAAGAGCTTTCTCTCTGTCTCTCTCTCTCTCTCTCTCACTGTCCACTCTGCCTGTAAAAAATTAAAAAAAAAAAGACTCAAGTGTGCTGTCTTGAAGCACACTGCTTCTCTATTCTGTAGTGTGAACTCCAGGTCATTATTATGTAATTGTTAGCAGTCTTAATAGGTAAAAAAAGGCTGTGTTCTCTTTGATGGGTGCTCTTGTTACTCACGCCTCCTACCTAGGCTAGAAAGCAGAGTACCTTTAGATGTTTCTACATGCATGTGGAGCGACTCAGCTTTTTCTCTTTATAGCTTTGGTATAACTAGAATCTTCCCTCTCTGCCACCTTTGTTCCATGGCCCTGCTGCAGATTATTGTCATCCTTTGCCTCTTATTCTTGTTCTGCTCATCCTCCTCAAAAGCACCAGTCGTTTGACCAATACATGCACTCAGTAAATGGAGAGAATACAGGGAGGCACTTTGAACACGTAGGGGCATTTCTCTTATCAAATGCCTGACACGGGAATGTTACTGCTGATCTTGCTCTGATTAGATTTCTTTCTTCTTTCTTTCTTTTTTAATGATTTATTTTCTTAAAAGTCAGAGTTACACAGAGAGAGAAGGAGAGGACGAGAGAGAGGCAGAGGGAGAGGTCTTCCGTCTGCTGGTTCATTCCCCAGATGGCTGCAATGGCTGGAGCTGCTGCAATCTGAAGCCAGGAGCCAGGAGTTTCTTCCAGGTCTCTCACATGGGTGCAGGGGCCCAAGGACTTGAGCCATCTTCTACTGCTTTCCCAGGCCACAGCAGAGAGCTGGATTGGAAGTGGAGCAGCTGAGGCTCATGCCTGCACTGCAGGCAGTGGCTTTACCTGCTACACCACAGCGCTTACCTGCTAGATTTCCTCTTTCTAACATAGGCAGTACAGTACTGTCCTTTTGAGAGGAACAAAGGTTGTAAACCTCACATGTGAAATGAGAAGTTGAGTAAGAAGACCTTCAGGGGCAGGTATTTGATGTTGGATGGCATTAAGAAGCTGCTTGGAACACCTGCATCCCATATGGTATTCCCTGTTTCAAGTCCTGGTGTTGCTACTTTACTCAAAAAAAAAAAAAAGAGATAAGGTTTTTCATTTGAAAGGCAGAGAGACAGAGAGGGAGAGAGATAGATCGATCTTCCATCCACTGGTTCACTCCCCAAATGGCCTCAGTGGTGGCTGGGACCGGGCCAGGCCAAAGTCAAGAGCCAGGAGCTTCATCTGGGTATCCCACAAGAGTGGTAGGGCCCAAGCACTTGGGCCATCTGTATTGCCTTCCAGGCAATTAGGAGGGAGCTGGTCCAGAAATGGAGCATCTGGGACTGGAAGTGGTACCCATATGGGATGCTGGCGTTGCAGGGGCAGCTTTACCCACAACACCACAGTGCCAACACCTAGTGCTGCTTATGATGCAGCTCCTAGCTGATGTATCTAACATTGAGAAATGAGAGAAAAAGTACCAACATGATAACGTGCACGTAGAAAATGTCAACAGTGACCTCAGATGCTGCCTTTCTGTATTCTGTCTTGCTTTGTGGAAGATAGGATTTGTCACATTTCAAACACATTCCATAGGTTAAATGCAGGGCTAGACTGTGAAGGGTGGTGACTGGCAAGCAGACCTGTGTTCTGTGGAGAACTGTGTAGATCACAGGTGTTCCGTGTCCTTGTGCAAGTGGATACGTAAGAGTCTGAATAAATAAATTGCAAAGATTTCCTGATGCGTGAGTCAGAGAATACGCCAGACAGAATGTTTGTAAGGAAGAAGAGAAGGAATGTGTACCAGAATCTTTTCTAAGTTAAACTCTTTTTCAAATTCTGTGTTAATAGGGTATGTAGTGCATATAATATCAAATTCTACACAAACTCTAGTAGTTGGTCTTGATGCAGTATTTTATTTACAGCTATGTCTTCCTTTTTTAAATTTTTTACTTTTTTCGATCTTTCTTATTTTTCATTGAGAGTTACACATGGAGAGGATGAGAGGCAGAGTGAGAGGAGAGAGAGGGAGGTCTCCCATCTGCTGGTCCACTACCCTGTTGGCTGCAAAGGGCGGAGCTGAGCGGATCTGAAGCCAGGAACCAGGAGCCAGGAGCCTCCCCGGGGTCTCCTGCATGGGTGCAGGGGCCCAAGGAGTTGGGCCATCTTCTGCTGCATTCCCAGACCGCAGCAGAGAGCTGCTTCGGAAGTACAGCAGCCGGGACTCGAACCGGAGCCCATATGGGATGCCGGCACTGTGGGCGGTGGCTTTACCCGCTACCGCACAGCGCTGGTCCCTCCCGGAAGCTGTTCCCCGTGGGATCCAGCTGTCTGCTAACGTACCTGGGAAAGCAGAGGGAGATGGCCCAAGGACGTAGGCCCCTGAACCCAGAAGGGAGCACCGGATAAAGTCCCTGGCATCTGCTTTGGCCTGGCCCAGCCCCGGCCTTTGTAGTCACCTGGGGGGTTGATCCCCCAGATGGACGCTCTGGCGAGAAAGAGCGCTCGTGATGCCGCTTGCATTGCTTCTCTCCCCATGCGGCTTCAACAGCATGCGCTGTGCCAAACAGAAGCCAGGGGGCAGGAGCTCCATTGAGGACTCCCAGGAGGCAGGGAAGTGGGGTGCAGAGTACCTGGGCCACCAGCGGCTGCCCCGCCTGGGTAAAGCCTGGAGGGGCGGGACTGGAAGTGACCCTGGGGGCGCTGGACGCGGGATGTCGCAGTGCGCAGATGCGTCCCGTTGCGCCATGGCGACGGCCAGTGAGGAGTGCGCCTGCGCCTGGCGCTGTGACCTGGAAGTGCACCCGCAGGCGCATCTGCAGCTGTGCTGGTGCTCAGGTAGGAGTCAGCGTCGTGTCCGCTCCTGCCCAGCGCTGGCACAAGCCTTGAGGAGCCATCCTCGACGCTGGTGGCCCACCCTGAGAAGACACAGTGAGTGCCCCCCCAGGTTCAGGCCGGGTTCAGATGAGGCTGCAGTCTGAGGCGGCCGCATCAGTTATCTTGGGCTTCTGGAAATTTCTAGGTGCAGTCTTTTGCTTCGGCCCCTTCTGGAAGACTACACCTCAAGACTGCGTTCATGTTCCAGAGACACAGAAACGGCCTTCCTGCGGAGAGTTTGGTGGTGGCCTTCCTGTCACTGGGTAGGCGGGGCCCAGGGTGCAGAGCGGGGGTGGGGTGTGTGTGTGAAGGGTAGCTGGGATAGAAGGTGGGAGAGGGTGTAGGGGGAGGTGGGAGGAGGGAGCGAGGGGGAAGGATGAAAAAGTGGCGTGCAGGTGTGGAGGCGAGGAAGGTAGGGGCAGAAACCCTCTTGGGGCAGAGGGAAGGGAGGGGGAGAGTGACAGGCATCCCGGTGAGTGTGTGGTTGAGCGTGGGGTGGGGAGAGGAAGAACTTTTCCCACGGCCCCGGTTTTCTGCCCCTGGTGGGAATAGCCTTGGCCGCATCCGTGAGAAGAGGCCTTGATCACGGCCTTTCTTCTCCGGGTTGTTCGGCAGTGTAAGGTGTGTGTGCGCAGGAAAACGGGCATGGGGCGCTCGAATTAATTTGCACCTAATCCGGTGACTTTCCACAGACTGCACACAGGGAGGAGAAAGCAGAAGCTTAGAGAAACCCCAAGAATCCCTCTTTGCTCTGTTCCAGCCTGCCCCAAGATTCTGACACCTCATAGTAAGTACGCGACTTTTTTCTATTTAAAGACTGGTTTGAAGGGCAGAGTTATAGATGAGGCGGTGAGGGAGAGATCTTCAGTGTGTGGGCTCACCCCGCCCAGGTGCCAGGTGGCTACAATGGCCGGTGCTTGACCAGGCCGGAGCCCAAGCCAGGTACTGTATCCAGTACTCCGGTGTGGGTTCGGGGGCCCAAGTCCTTGGGCCACTTCCTCTGCTTTCCTAGGCGTTTGAGGAGACAGCGGGATCACAAGTGGGAAAAGCCTGGGTGGGGCGGCGGTCGGAGCCATGGCATAGCGGGTGAAGCCGCCGCCTGCAGTACCAGCATTCCATATGTGTGTTGGTTCGAGTCCCAGCAGCTCCACTTCCGTTCCAGCTCTCTATGTGGCCAGGCAAAGCAGTTGAAGAGGGCCCAAGTCCTTGGGCCCCTGGACCTGTGGGGTCCTGGAGGAAGCTCCTGGCTCCTGGTTCATATCCACTCAGCTCTTTCTGTGGATTTGGCCGTGGTGGCCTTCCTGTCACTGGGTGGGTGGGGCCCGAGGTGCAGAGAGCGGGGAGGGTGTGTGTTTGAGGGGTAGTTGGGATAGAAAGTGGAGGAGGGAGGGGCTCAAGGGGGACGCGGGAGGAGAGAGGAAGGGAGGAGAATGAAAAGGTGATGTGTAGGTGTGGAGGTGAGGAAGGGAGGGGCAGAAACCCGCGTGGAGGAGAGGAAAGGGAGGTGGAGAGTGACAGGAGTCCTGGTGGGTGTGGGTGGTGGCGGGTTTGGGAGAGGAAGAACTTTTCCCATGGCCTCGGTTGCGTCTTGGGTGTTTTCTGTCCCTGGCCAGCAGTAGCCTTGGTCGCGTCCTTGAGAAGAGGACCTTGACTCACGGCCTCTCTTCTCCAGGTTGTTCGGAAGTGTAAGGTGTGTGTGCAGGAAAACGGGCATGGGGCGCTCGAATTAATTTGCACAGAATCTGGTGAATTTTCACAGACTGCACACAGACAGCTTGATCACAAGTGGGAACAGCCTGGGTTGTTGGGGGTTTGGGGGTGTGGGGGGGCAGGCCATGGCATAGTCAGTGAAGCCACTGCCAGCTGTACCAGCATCCCGTATGGGTGTCTTCCTTTTCTGTGATACTTTTCTCTCCTTCCCCTGACAGAGGTAAGTATCCAGAGCTTTTGGATGTATTTCATTACAGAAATATTTCTGTTACACACTCTTTATATATGTAAAGTACTTACCCATTTAATCACCATTTATTTGCTGTGTACCTATTTCATGCAAGACTGTGAGCTTGTCCAGGGCAGGACTTTATCTCTCTGCTTTCATTCCTGTAGTCCCTGGTCACAGTTGGTATTTGATATATGCAGAACTAACAGTGCCCTCACTGCTGCGTCTTGGGACAGGAAGTGATGGTTAATGAAGGCTCTGGTCACAAGAATAAAGGTCGGAGGGACAAGAAAGGATGTTTAACAGAATCAGCATTAATGAAGCACTTTCAGTTGTCAGGCTTCTTAAGGTACCGTTGTCTCATTTCTAAATAACAACACAAGGAGGGGAAGCAAGAGGTTTTTTTGTTTGTTTGTTTTTGTTTTTTTGAATTATACCACATTGTCCTGTCTAATTCTCTTCAAAGGTCTGTGAGGGAGGCACTTCTGATAGCCTTTTAAATATTAGTTAAAGGAAGTGGGAACCTGCCCTAGGCCATATATCAAGATCAGTGAAGTTCCAGTTTAAATCCTGCTTTGCTTGCCCCAGAGCTGTGTCCCTCCTGGGGTTGGAACCTCAGCTTCCATCGGTTCCAGAGTTGGGGTATCAGAGAGGTGGTAGCAAGAAAACCAGTGGTCCTAGTCTTTGGGCTTGTCTGTGTGTGGAGCATAAATAACTACAGGGACTTGAGCTGTGTCACTAAGGACCCTTCTTGCTAATGCTGTGGCCTCATGCTGTGATTTGTTAACATAGGTCTTGTGTCCTGGTTCACACCAGTGGGGAGTCTTGAGCTGTTGGCGGGGGCGGGGGGGTCTGAGGAGGGTACCTTGCCACCCTGGGACTGGAACTGACTTTTAAGAGGGACCTTGAGGTATGAAAGGAGATTTGCTGGTAGGGTTAGGACCAGAGGGTTTGAGGAGTCCTCAAGGTCCCTGGTGATTAGTCTTTTTAAAATTTATTATTATTTATTTCAAAGGAAGAAAGAAATATTTCATGCGTTAGTTTACTTCCCTAATGCCCTCAACAGCTGGAAAGGTATGTGAAGCCAGGGTCTGGGAACTCAATCCAAGTCTCCCATGTGAGTGGCAGGGATGTAAGTACTTGAGCCATCACCTGCTGCCTCCCAGGTTGGAATAGTAGGAAGCTGGATTCAGGACTTCAGCCAGGACTTGATCCTGGGCACTCTAACATGAGCTGTGGGGATTGCAGTAGAGGCTTAGTCGCTATACCAAAAGCCCATCCCTGATTAGTCTTCAGTTCCCTCCTTCAAAGTGTGGCTGGCTACTTGGGAGGGGTTTACCTCACCACTGCTAACTGGGCCTGCTGCACAATTTTGTGAGGACCTTGTTCCAAAGGCAGGGGTAAAGGGCCACTAAAGATACTAAAACATAAAGCTCTTTCCTTTCTTCCACCTACCTCCTTGGCTCAGACTCATGCTCTTTTGACTGGCTTACAAACACAAGTTCAAAGACAGAGTTTTGAGGATTTTTAAGACACCACCAGCAGAGGTTTAAACCCAGTGCAGGCCCTTCAGAGAGCGAGCCGTGTGACTGTTTCTGTGTGACCATGTAGGCTGCACGCCCATGAGGTTGGCCCTGGCTGCTGAATATAACCCATTGGCTTTAACCAGTCCAGGTCTAATCCTGTGACACTCCAGGGCACCTGGGCAGACTTATGTCTTATTAAATCAGCTCCCTGAGGATTGTGTGGACTAGTTAGTCATACTGTCTCGTGATCACGCTCCTCGATTTTCTTAGAGACCTCTTGTCTTGTCTAGCTAGGACTGGTATCTTTTTCTAGAGTAAGGCTCCTCACCCCTGACCTAGAGCACTGAGAGGAACTGGAATGCTGCTGTGTGGCAGAGACCTCCTGCAAGTTCTCTGAGCAGTACTGGGTCCCCACAGCTCCGCTTAGTGTTTCTATGGTACCACACTTTGAGAACTGTGCTCGCAAATGACTCATGGGACAGTCTGTCCCTGCTCTATTCCTGCTCTGAGCCTGGCAATCAAGGTCCAGACAAGGCCCCTGATAGAAATGTTGCATCCAAGCAGCCCCTTATAACTAAGGTCACCTCAAGATCCCCACAAATGGATCTTGGACCAGAGGTCAGGACTTTATGTGCAACTTGAACACTTCCTGCCTTGGGAAGTTCACTGCCCCCACCCCAGGACATGTTCTGAGCTGCTTGGTCCTAGGTGTAGAGGCTCTGGCCTCTGGAAATGTACTGAGTTGACTTCTGAGTTTCCAGATGCCAGAAAACATGTAACGAGTTCCTCGGATCTGTGTGACCACTTGGATATCCAACTGTGATTGCAGACACCCATGGTGAAGACTTTTGAGTGCCGCCTCATGGTGGAGCTGAGTGCTTCCTGCTGGGACTGTGGGATCTTCCTGGGATGCCAGGGTGGCACAGCAAGCCATGGTGCTCTGGAGGCTGTCACTAAATCTGTGTGTAGCTTAGAAGGTAAAACTGTGTCTTTCCAGTAGTATGGAGCAGAGCCTCAGGACGAGGAGATGGTCCTATCAGAACTTGATGCTGGGGCCGGCGCTGTGGCACAGCAGGATAAAGTGTTGGCCTGCAGTACTGGCATCCCATATGGGTGCTGGTTCATGTCCCGGCTGCTCCACTTCTGAGCCAGCTCTCTGCTAAGCCCTGGGAAAGCAGTAGAAGATGACCTGAGTCTTTGGGGTCCTGCACCCGTGTGGGAGACCTAGAAGAAAATTCTGGCTCCTGGCTTTGGATCAGCTCAACACTGGCCATTGGCAGTCATTTGGGGAGTGAACAAGCTGTTGGAAGACCTCTCTGTTTCTGTCTCTGTCTCTCTAACTCTTTCAAATAAGTAAAATAAATCTTTTTTAAAAAAGAACTTAATGCTAATGTGTGCATTTGTTCTAACTTGGAAAGGAAATCTCATTCCTCTGCTTCAAGTCACCTTGCAATTCAGGAAGGGCAGCATTTTTTTGCGTTAGGCTTCTTGCGTCTTCTCTGCTGGCTTCTCCCTTGTAAATTATCATGTAGCATCATCCTTTGCTCTGGTAGGATTCATTTTTAAAACCGTGCTTTTTCTCTTCTTCATCAGAATAGTTCAGAAAGTTAATGGGAAATGGAATCAAAAGATACCTTTATTTTAGTGTAAAATTTTTTAAGCCCATGCATATTTTTTGTAATACGTATGTTTTATATAATGTTTGAAGATCCCTCATGTATCATAACAAGTCTTTACAAATTTTGGTCATTGTCTTGGTCCTTTAGTTATTAGGAATAAATTATTTTGTTAGGTTGAAATTAGCCTATTTGAATTAGTGCCGGATCTCATTTGCTGTGACATAAAGAATTGCTTTATGGATAATGAAAGCACCTTAATGATGTGGTCTAAAGGAGAAAACAATATTACTCAAGCTATTAACACCAGGGGACTTCTCCCTGACCTCTTAACAGTGCCCTGCAAACTGTACATTATTGTACTCTTGAGGATCCAGGGGCTGAAGTCTGGCCTGAAGGTATTTTAGAGAATGCTCCATGTGGGAAAGTCATAAGAAAACAGAGGAATATAAGTAGCAGTTAATGAGAAGGCAGAAGAGACTTCTAGAATTGAACTGACCACAAGGTTTGCTGGGATTTTTTGAGCAGCACAGCAAGCACTAGGTTGTCTGTGTTGGGCACCAGATACAATCACTACAGCCTTGTGAAATTAGAAACTATGCCGTTCTGGCCGGCGCCGCGGCTCACTAGGCTAATCCTCCGCCTAGCGCGCCGGCACACTGGGTTCTAGTCCCGGTTGGGGCGCCGGATTCTGTCCCGGTTGCCCCTCTTCCAGGCCAGCTCTCTGCTGTGGCCAGGGAGTGCAGTGGAGGATGGCCCAGGTGCTTGGGCCCTGCACCTCATGGGAGACCAGGAAAGCACCTGGCTCCTGGCTCCTGCCATCGGATCAGCGCGGTGCGCCGGCCACAGCGCGCCGGCCGCGGCGGCCATTGGAGGGTGAACCAACGGCAAAAGGAAGACCTTTCTCTCTGTCTCTCTGTCTCTCTCTCACTATCCACTCTGCCTGTCAAAAAAAAAAAAAAAAAAAAAAAGAAACTATGCCGTTCTGCAGAATTGTGTTTGAGAGACTCAGCCTACAAGGAATGCAGGTGAGACAGAGCATCTCTGACCTTAACAGAGGCAGTGTGATTGGTCATTCTTTACTTTCCCTTTATATTGCTATAGCAACTTTAAAATGCCTTTTGTTTAAAAACCTGAGGAATGTATGTGAAAAGTCGTTTTGGCAATCTTTGGTCATCAGTAAATTCACCATCTTAGTGTGTTATAACTTACTGAACCCGTGGTACTAGGAACTTGATAGACTTTGCAGCATTAGACTACAATTTTCGCTTGCTCAAAACTGAGGGTGTTGGAGCTTACCCAGCATAATTAGAAATGTACCCTCTATTTGAAGCCTTGGCAAGAACAATAATTTAGTATCGTGGCTGTGTGGCACTGGTAGAATGTGTTGTTCAGTCCTGAGTTTGGGCACCTTGTTTGTTTATGACAGAAAACAGCTTTCAGAAACTTCCTGTGGATAAAATACTCTTTTCACAATCTGGTGGTTTCACTGCTTTTTTTCTAAGGTTTAATTTTCCCTTCGAGTGCAGGCATGTTCATTTTATCAAAGCTGGCATTTTCTCTTCTTTAAAAATTAAAGTCTTGAGTATTCTGAAGAAAATTTCGCAACCATTAGGGTATATAAGTGTGTGGTGTGAGCATAATTACAAGGATGAAATGCTTTGCTTTTGAGTAGTAGTGGACCAACACTTGGTGTGCTAAGCAACATAGTTTTTATTCTATTTTGTGGTTCAAAGGCTGCTTACTACTGCTCCTGATCTTAGATTATCTTAGTCCTTTTTGTCAAATGGATTTAGAGCGCACAGCACCTTTTTATCCACCTTCTCTCTGAAAAGCAGTGGGAGATAGAGCAACTTTTTTAAAGATTTATTTATTTATTTGCGAGGTAGAGTTACAGAGAGAGAGGTTTTCCGTCCAATGGTTCACTCCCCAAATGGTTGCAATGGCCAGAGGCGAACCATTCAAAAGCTGGAGCCAGGAGCTTCTTTGAGGTCCCCTACATGGTTTCAGGGGCCCAAGAAGTGAGGCTATCTTCTGCTGCTTTTCCAGGCTATAAGCAGAAAGCTAGATTGGAAGAGTAGCATCGGGGGCACGAACCGCACCCATGAGGGATGTGGCGCTGCCGGATGCTTTACCTACTTTACCACGGCGTTGGCCCACAGAGCAAATTTTTAAGCCAAGAGCCAGGAGCCCAAGAGCTGGGCCATCCTCCGCTGCTTTCCCAGGCACATTAGCAGGGAGCTGGATTGGAATCCGAGTACCAGAACTCGAACTGCTGCCTATATGGGATGCTGGCACCGCAGGAGTCACCACTACACCACAGTGTTGTGGTGCAGTGGGTTAAGCCATCACCTGTAATGCCAGCATCCCACCCTTGTTTTCTTTCTGTAATCTAGTAGTTGAAAAACAGCCACCACTCCCAATGCATAGTCCTATAAAAGCAATTTCACTTTATTTGAACACTCTAAGGAGAAAAAGCAGATGAGTATGTATTGTACCTAAAGAGAAAAACTCTGTCAAATTTTAAATCGAATGGTGGAATAAATTCCATGACAAAAGTGAAGCAAACAATTGACCTGTGGCCCCACTGCGCTGGCGCCTGGCTTCACTGCCTACTGGGGACAGACAGCAGGAGCCCAGGAGAAGCCTGGAGCCACACCCCTGCGTGGGCTTGGTCTTTGTTTTTTGATTGGTTGGAGCCTGCAGGTAATCCGACCAGAAATGATGTATGCTATTGAATACCGAGTTTATAAAAGGGGTGCTCAGTGCTGCTGTTTCCGTTTTCTCTTCTTGGTGTCCAGCGCCGTGGAGTTCTTCATTGGAGCATGTGCTAAGCCCTGGCCCTAAGAACAAGGAGGTGAGCAGCCGAGAGCAACACCTACAGGAAGGGCCGGGCTGCCTGTCGAGGAGTGGCAGTATTCAACAGGACCCTCAGGTTTGTCCATTCTCACCTGGTGAGTCTTCTTGAAATGTTTGTGCGTATCATATGCCGGTCCTGGACACAGGCAGGGGACACTGGGCCTTCAGGAGCCAGGGGGAAGGAAGAATAAATTGTATGTTATAAATTGAATACTGTATTTTATATGATAACCTTTTATTATATATTATAAATTTCATATCATATGTTCTAAATAGATTTTAAATTGTATATTGTAAACCGTATATGTGCTCGGAGGTATCACAGACAGTTCCAGGAGGTGTGAGCCTACCTGGCTGAATTCTGATGCCAGGATGGGTGAACCAGCAGGTGCCCGCAGGTGAGTCATCTTCTTATAGGTGGGCAATTAAGATGCCCAGCAACTGTGTTATTTCCAGGTCTCTTGTTTTATTTCTGGATTTATAGTTCTACTTAGTGGATAGGAGCTGAGAAAGTGGATCTGGTCATCCAGGAAGGAAGTTCCTGCTCACAGGCTTTGCTTCCTGTTTTTCCTAATTTGCTAAGATAGTTTCTCTCAGTTTGCGTTGAAGGTTCTCCAACACAGCAGTAATAACTTTGACTGCTAAACCAAAAAGGTTGTACATTGTTGTCATCGCCCCACTGAATTCTAATTCTGCCTCTGTGATATCCAGTGTTTCCCTAATTTTATGAAAAAGTTCCTGAGGAATACATTGTTGTATTGCGTTAATGAGTGTGGTTATCTGGGAAGACATATCATGTAAAATTTACATATCCCAGTCATACTATTGCATTAACTAGGAATATGGGGACTCCGTTTATCATCAGAGGATGGCACCGAAATTTTGAGAGGGTAGCATTACTTCCTAAGTATATTTGTTTCAGGTATAAAACTATAAGGTTCTGAATAACTCAATACAGGTTCTTTTTACTTCTAAATTCGATTTTGAAATTCTGAAATCATTCGGATTATGATATTTGTAGACCATTTTTAGGTCTGAGAAGGCAGGGGCATTGTTTCTGGGCAGTATCCACTCTGGTTGCCGTGTAATTGGTTCTAAACCATCGGTTGGTGAATTGAAATCCCTGTTTGTCCTGTGTTTTAAACAACACAAAATTTCAAAATCCGTAGGTATTGTGTTTTGTGGTTTGGTTCTTACAGTATGTGGTGAATTAAGTCTCCCTTCCTTCTGGTTAGCAGTTACTTGTGTTGATATCCCAGGATCATTCCTTGATCCTCATCTTATGAGATGCTGACCAGTGACTACTCCGAAACAGCTCCTTGGTGCACGTCCTCGTGGATGTTCCAGTTTCCTCATTATCCACTCTTGGTGTTCCTGTTAGTGCTGATTGTTCAAATCCAGAAGTTGAAATGACCCCATGTTCAGTCTATGTGTTTGTTCTCACTGGTCTTCTCATCCTAGGCAGCCTTATCTCTGTACCGTGTTTCAGGAAGGTCTTGGCTCTTTCTCTCATCGTTAGCTTGACCTATTTATATTGCCCATGGTTTTCTCGTGTTGGCTATTTTCAAACTTGATTCCTTGATTCCATAATTTGCCCTCACACACAACAAACCAAGAAAAATCTGTTCTTTTGTTTTCTCATGCTCCCAGTCCACAGATGTTCTCTGATAACAATCACCAGGCATCTCAAAGGCTGTCTGGTCCCTACACCCTTCTCAAAGCCACATGAATATGTGATTCTTTTGCTTTTCACTTTTGCGTCTCAGTTCTGTCACCTTTTCCACAAACCTCTGTTCCTGTGACTACCATGAAACTTTAGCATCTCCCACAAAAAGCCTAGGCTAGCAACTACTAGTGCACTACTAATAAGTTAAAATATAGAAACTTTGTGAGGAAATTCCAAAATTAGAGTGGTTTATGCCAAACATCTTAAGATGCTTTTCCTCTGCTTAACTAAAGTCATATCTATGGGGAAAACTAGGTGAAAGTTTTCTACAAACAATGCCTTTGTTACCTCTATACAATTGTGTTTGTGAGTTATGTAGGCCTCTATAATTACGTATGGGGAAACTAAAACTGTGACTTGCAGTTCAGTATTGCAAATATTTAAAGCTTCTACTG